TATTAATATTTCGTTAACACCAGTTGGTGGTGGAATTTGAAATTGTTTTCTTTCTATGAAATCTGAATCAAGAGACAAAACTTATATTAGCTAATGCAAGTTCATGAAAAAACAATTACTTTCAATTTGAATCTAGTAAGCTATTTGACTCGCCAATTGTTTAGTGCCATGAACATTTGTTTTAATATATCGAATACAGGATTCGAACGAAAATGCTGAGCAAAAGGCTAAACCTCGGTGAATTCTTGTTTGTACTGGAAGATGTAAATGTCCATGTAATGAAAATAATTCAATGGACGGATCATAGACTAACGGTGCTGTTTTACAGTAATAATTGATCAGCTGTTGTGCCAAATTAATTTTCATCATCTGATTTCGGTGCATGTAACAATTTAATTGCAATTGAGTAGATAACAAAATGAGAGGCAAATAGTATTGGTAGATGACTCACACAAATTGGGACGCCAATATTTAATACAAATAACCTTGAATTTTTCGCTTCCCATTGATCGACAACCATAATTGATTTAGTATAACTAACTTTCATATTGTGTGGAATGCGTATTTGTTTTAATACATCGTCAATATCTTGAATATTTTGTTTGCTAATGATTTGGCACCAGCGTTTGATTAACGTTGGTATGTGTCACACTAAATGCATATAATCAAAAATTATTTGGGATGGGTATGAAAATATTTCGGTCAATGCTGATAAGCCTTTGATTCCTTCCACATTAATCTCACGATATCCGCTCGATTTTTTAACAGCTTCTTCTGCAGCTTTTAAATAACCAACATGTGTCCGTGGAGTATAATTGTTTTGATTATACGGATATAACACCTTTTTATACATCGGATTCCAGTCACCTAAAGATAACACAGTAATTAATTAAAGAACACATCTTTGATACGGACATCCTTGTCAATTGATACCTATTCGTGAGAAAATCAGATGGTAAGGTTTAGGAAAGAAAAACAACAATGCAGAAAAAATGAGGTTAATATTTAAAACGTTTTACCTTTA